GAATTTTCTATTAAACACTTGCTCAGGTATTATAATAAATCCATGCACCGCACCAGTACTAGTTAAGCGTCACACGTAAATGACGTGGTCTGACAACGCTGAGGACATACTAGGGGGTACTGTTTTTGATAGAAAAGCACGCAAACTGGGCCATGGCGCGCCGTGTAGAGTCAAAACGTACCGTACTAGGACTGTGGAAAAGCGGCATTAGAGTACTCGGGTGATCCTGGGAGCTATGCTGTCTGGGGCTTCATGCTCCTGGTAGGGTCTCCCATGGCAGACAGGTCTCAGGTGACGAGTCAGACAAAGAGCAGTCCGAAGCCAACCATGGACAGCACTACTACAAAACCAGTGACGTCGCCCGGGGCCCCACACTGGAGCCAGGCCTGGGGTCGGGGCTCACAAGCGAGCGCCTGGTGGCCGGGCCTTAGCCCACGGGGCCCGGCCGGGCTCAGCCCGAAAGGTCGACGTGGGCAGTCCCTCCTGTGGGCCCACCACCTGCAGAGGGGTCCGTGGTGGCGAGGTGCAGCGAGGACTGCGCAGCAGTCGAAGGCGGAGACCTCGACGACCCAGTCCGCACACGCAATATCTGGCTCTTGGGACGTGGAACGTCACCTCACTGGGGTGGAAGGAGCCCGAGCTCGTGGGGGAGGTTGAGCGATACCAACTAGAGATAGTCGGCCTCACCTCCACACACAGCTTGGGCTCTGGAACCTAACTCCTTGAGAGGGGTTGGACGCTCCACTTTTCTAGAACTAGAACCAGGAAGTACGACCACATTAGTCCAGTCCTCAGGTCTCTGCACTGGCTTCCTGTGGCTCAGAGAATAGACTTTAAAACAGCTCTGCTTGTTACAAGTCTCTCCATGGCCTCGCACCATATTAGTGACATGTTAGTCCCATATGAACCAGCCCGGACTCTGAGGAGCACAGGGACTGGACTCCTGTTAGTGCCCAGAGTCAAAACTAAACATGGGGAGGCAGCTTTTCAGATTCATGCTGCTAAAATCTGGAACAGTCTTCCTGAAGATGTGAGACAGGCCTCCTCGCTGACAATGTTTAAAACCAGGTTAAAAACAGTTCTGTTTAGCTGTGCATACAACTGAGGAATTTTATATTTTGATCTTACTTTTTAAAGTTCTGTAATTATTTATGATTTTAATGCTTTCTTATTTTGTTCAGCACTTTGAATTGCCTTGTGTATGAATTGTGCTATATAAATAAACTTGCCTTGCCTTGCCTTGCCTTCTGGTGCTTCTCGCGGGGAGAGGCGGCGAGCTGGGGTGGCCATACTCATTGCCCCCCATCTCAGCCGGCACGTGTTGGAGTTCTCCCTGGTGAATGAGAAGGTCGCGTCCCTCCGCCTCCGGGTGGGGGACAAGTCTCTCATTGTTGTGACGGCCTACGGGCCTAACGGCAGTGCAGAGTACCCGGCCTTCTTGGAGTCCTTGGGAGGGGTACTGGACAGTGCACCGCCCGGGGACTCCGTTATTCTCCTGGGGGACTTCAACGCCCATGTGGGAAATGCCAGTGACACTTGGAGAGGGGTGATTGGGAAGAACGGCCCCCCTGATCAGAACCCGAGCGGTGTTCAGTTGTTGGACTTCTGTGCCAGTCACAGTTTGTCCATCACGAACACCATGTTTGAGCACAAGGGTGTCCACCAGTGCACGTGGCACCAGGACACCCTAGGCCGGAGGTCGATGATCGACTTTGTTGTCGTATCATCTGACCTTCAACCGCGTGTCTCGGACACTCGGGTGAAGAGAGGGGCAGAGCTGTCAACCGATCACCACCTGGTCGTGAGTTGGATCCGCTGGCAGGGGATGAAGCTGGTCAGACCTGGCAGGCCCAAGCGTGTATAGTGAGAGTCTACTGGGAACGTCTCGCTGAGCCCCCTGTCAGACGGACTTTCAACTCACATCTACGGGAGAGCTTCTCCCAGGTCCTGGCGGAGGAGGGGGACATTGAGTCTGAGTGGACCATGTTCTCTTCCTCTATCGCTGATGCGGTGGCTCGTAGCTGTGGTCGCAAGGTTCTGGTGCTGGTCCCGGCGGAAACCCCCAAACCCAGTGGTGGACACCGGCAGTAAGGGATGCCGTCAGGCTGAAGAAGGAGTCCTATCGAGCAATGATGGGGACTCCTGAGGCAGCTGTCCAGTACCGGCAGGCCAAGCGTGCCGCGGCCCAGGCTGTTGCGGAGGCAAAAACCCGGGATTGGGAGGAGTTCGGAGAGTCCATGGAGCATGACTATCGGTCGACCTCGAAGAGATTCTGGCAAACCGTCCGGCGCCTCAGGAGAGGGAAGCAGTTCTTTGCCAACACCGTGTATGGTGGAGAGCTGCTGACTTCGACTGGGGATATTGTCGGCGGTGGAAGGAATACTTTGAGGTTCTCCTCAATCCCCCCGTCACATCCACCGTCCAGGAGGCAGAGGCTGAGGATGCTGGGGCGGATACTTCCATCTCCCTGGCTGAGGTCACCAAGGTGGTTGGCAGCCTCCATGGTGGCAAGGCACCGGGAGTGGATGAGATCCGTCCTGATTATCTAAAGTCTCTCGATGTTGTAGGACTGTCTTGGCTGACACGTCTCTGCAACATCGCGTGGCGATCGGGGGCGGTGCCAATGGAGTGGCAGACCGGGGTGGTGGTCCCTCTCTACAAGAAGGGGGATTGGAGGGTGTGTTCCAATTATCGTGGGATCACACTCCTCAGCCTCCCCGGTAAGGTCCACTCCAAGGTACTGGAGAGGAGGCTACGGCCGATGGTCAAATCTCGGATTCAGGAGGAGCAGTGTGGTTTTCGTCCCGGTCGTGGAACACTGGACCAGCTCTATACTCTCCATCGGATACTCGAGGGTTCATGGGAGTTTGCCCAACCAGTCCACATGTGCTTTGTGGATTTGGAGAAGGCGTTCGACCGGGTTCCCCGGGGTGTCCATTGGGGGGTTCTCCGGGAGTACGGGGTCCGGGGTCCTCTGCTGAGGGCCGTCTGGTCCCCGTATGACCGGAGCCAGAGCTGCGTTCGCATTGCCGGCAGTAAGTCAGACCTGTTCCCGGTGCATGTTGGCCTCCGCCAAGGCTGCCCTTTGTCACCGGTTCTGTTCACTGTGTTTATGGACAGAATTTCTAGGCGCAGCCAGGGGCCGGAGGGGGTCCGGTTCGGGGACCACAGAATTTCATCTCTGCTGTTTGCGGATGATGTCGTCCTGCTGGCTCCAACGAACCAGGACCTGCAGCATGCAGCCGAGTTTGCAGCCGAGTGTGAAGCGGCTGGGATGAGAATCAGCACCTCCAAATCCGAGGCCATGGTGCTCGACCGGAAAAAGGTGCCTTGCCCTCTCCAGGTGGGTCCTTCCTCAAGTGGAGAAGTTCAAGTATCTCGGGGTCTTGTTCACGAGTGAGGGAAGGATGGAGCGTGAGATTGACAGGCGGATTGGTGCAGCGTGCGCAGTGATGAGGCTGCTGTATCGGACCGTCAATTTACCGGTCAATCTTCGTTCCCTCCCTCACCTATGGCTATGAGCTGTGGGTAATGACCGAAAGAACAAGATCGCGGATACAAGCGGTCGAAATGAGCTTCCTCCACAGAGTGGCTGGGCGCTCCCTTAGAGATAGGGTGAAGAGCTCGGTCACACGGGAGGAGCTCGGAGTAGAGCCGCTTCTTCTACACGTCGAGAGGAACCAGTTGAGGTGGCTCGGGCATCTGTTCCGGATGCCTCCTGGACGCCTCCCTGGGGAGGTGTTCCGGGCACGTCCCACCAGGAGGATGCCCCGGGGAAGACCCAGGACACGCTGGAGAGACTATGTCTCTCAGCTGGCCTGGGAACGCTGGCCTGGGGTCCCCCCGGACGAGCTGGAGGAACTATGCGGAACTAAAGCGGAAGAAAATGGATGGATGGATGGATGGATGGAGTATCATGGTCCAACAAAGCCATTATTCATCAAATCAAATACACTTAAATTAAATGATCTCACTGAACTCCACACAGCTAAAGTCATGTATAAGGTTCATAACCATAAACTTCAAAACTGTATTCAGGAAAGGTTTAAACAAAGAGAAACTTGATACAATTTGAGAGGAAACAACATTTATAAAAAAGTGCAGTTAGAACAAATACCAAAAGCTGAGTAAAAATATGGAATAGTCTGGATGACTCAATTAAACGATCTAACTTTCTTAAAGCTTTTAAAAGGAAAATCAAACTTAATGTTATGAGCAGTTATGCTGCTCTACAATAAATGTCCAATATAACATACAAATAATGTATAGCTCATAATTGATACAATGTAAGATAACAAAAAAATAAAGATAAGTGTTTCCCTTTAGCCAAAACCATTTCAGTCACTCAATTTATGTCAATGCTTCTTCTGTTGAAATGTATTCCGTAACGGACAATTTGATTGACTGTAATAAACTACTACAACTACTACTAGGGTTATTTACAGGAGTTATTGTAAATTATTTTTTAAAAAGTATATAGTACTTTTTAAAAAAGTACTATATACTTTTTTAAATAAGTAATATTGTAAAATTATATTATATCATTTTTAGGGCTGTCAAAATTATCGCGTTAACTCTAGTTAATTACATTTTTCATTAACGCACGTCCGAATTATCCGCCCATTTATCCATTATCACTCAGAATGCTGCGTGTGAGATGGCATCAGAGCAGGTAGGCCCTCTGGGGATTCATGTTTTAAAAGAATACGCGCGCCACCGCAGGGCTGTTGTTTGCTGTGAACTGAAGTCCGCCTCCTCCGTGGCCGCTCTGACTGTGAGCCGGTCACAACAACACGGCTGTGAGCGGCTGTGAGTGAGTGGCGCCGCGGTAACATGGTCATAAGACCAAACACGCCACAGAACTGTTGTCTGCATGTTGTGTTCGTGTCTTTGCAACCTGTGCGTAACCTGTGCTCCTCGAATGGGTTTTTAGGCACCCAAATTTAGACATTTCCAGGAAATTGAGGATCTTGTATTGAATCCAGGTATATAAATCTGACCTGTATGTTGTCGATGAGCTTTGCCATGTGTTTGATGATGTCGCTGTGTTTCTCCGGCTGCATCTGGAGCAGTTTCTTAATCACCACCACAGACTCGGCCACGACCAGCTCTGCGAGGGAGGAGACCCGTTCAAGTCCAAGTCACCACATTAGAATTCAATGTGTGTATGAATGCAATGGAAGGAAAGCAGTGTGCAACAATTGTTTTTGTGCATTAGAGTGAATTCCTATTGTTGATGTATGCTGTATTCTAATATAATCCCCTGTGACCCTGCCCCCCTGGGACTACAGATTGGCCTTTGGCTACAATCTGGCGAGTCGTCATTATGTTCAACCATATATGTTAATTAACATGTACTGTCCCTGTAAAATAAATAAAGAAATACAAATACAAACCCATTGATATTCAGGTCACCACATGACAGTCGCGTCCATAAATATGTGAACTCACCATCTCTGTTGGACAGCAGCTGCACCAGTCCATTCAGACACGTGTCCCGCACCTCTCCGATGTTTGTGGCACAGCGGCCGATCGCTTGGATGGTCGCCGCAACAAAGTCCTTGTCCATGCTTTTAATGTATGTCTGAACACAGCACACAATACAATTACAGTACCGTTGATGCCAATATGCCCGGTTAGACTCACTCCGACTTGATTTGATACACTAGTTTTTTCCATGAATTTTATTTGATTGTACTTCCGCCATGCTCCACCAGAGGCATTAGGCGGAACACAAGGGTCTGGGATCGACGCCATTGCAAACTCCTTCAGGAGATCAAAAAATAATCTGCCAGACTGCCGGTGTAACATCTGGTTTGCACCGCCTTCTCGTGCGTGTCTCACACGGCAGCAAAAGCAATTCAAGATGGCGGACATAAAGTCCGTCAATTTCAAAAAGAACGAATTAAGACACAAATGTCACTTTTAATGAAATATGAGGTTGATGGTTCCATGTTGTTATATGTGTTTTTTAAAAGTCAAATGTTCGTGGAAAGTGTGGTTTAAGTACTAGTTTAAGTGTTCCTGTTACAACACTACGCAGGGGGCAGGGGCAGAAGTGTTGCTAACAAGGTTTCTAAAGCAAACCAAAAGACTTGCTGCTATGATTGCAGCAATTATATTCACTCATGTTGGATCAATACTTGTGCAAGACCCGGTTTTCAGTTTGTATATTTAAGTAGAGTATAGTACATAATTGTGTTTTATTTTGTTTTCACTTCACGGTTGTCTGATACTTTTTGTGGTTTTTCAGAAAATAAATACAAAATAAAATCTTTTTTTGTGGTCGGAACATGATAAAAGTACAAGTACAACATACTGGTAATTTACCAAGCCACTTTAATAATAATTAATTATAAGGTTGAAGCTTCTCTAATTTACACACAAGTGATAATATGAAAACAGCTTTATCCTCTTTATTGAAATTGAAACTGTCAGATAATAGCTTTTCCTAGTGCCAATTTTCGTTTATGTGCGCTAATTGACACACTATATACGCAGACTGTACTTAAAGGGAAATTTTTACAGTTGCTCCAAATGAAAAAACATGTTAACCAAAAACTAATGTGACCTTTCTAAGAATATTTATTCCCACCATGTTTTTGAATTGTTGTCATAGACTTATAAATTGAATTATAAATGTACATGAGAGCTGAGGACTCTCCATGTCAATGTGCCATCTTGAAATTCATTGGTTGATAAGGGACAAAAAGGATGCAAGAATCGCATTTTCGTTTCACAGGTGCTACTGATATCATTTCTTCCACTGTGTCCTCACAAGTTAGAAGCAGCAACCATGGAGGACATGTAAAAGAACCATGAAGGACCATAGTTATGTAAAAGAACTACCCGAACAACATTCTTTTAGAGAAACAATTATGCAAAAAAATATAGAAACCGGCATCATAACGGTAAAGTGTCAACATCGCAAACCACACGCACCAAAATAACAGAAGGCACCATGCTGTAGTTGGTGGTAGAAGTAGACTTGCAATACATGATCTCAACGCTAGACGGGGGTATAAACTACACAGTGTAAGTTAGAACAAATAAATGTACCTGAAACTCTCGAAGAATGGTGGAAATGTTGGACTCATTTGCCAAATTGGTGAGAACTTCCAGCTGTAAAACAAAAGTTGTGAATGGGTATAAGGCCTGTGTGGGAAAGGGTTTTATGTGGAACAAGTTTCTTAAAAACACAAGTGAAGAGGTTAACTCAAAACAACACATTTTTAGTTTACACAAAGCAGAGAAAACACAGAAGGCCTATCTTGTGCCTGTTGTGGAAGATCAACTTTATAGCTGGGGCACCTAACTTCAAAACCACAAGAATGAAATCATAATAGAATCCATGTTACTAGTTCTTGGCTCTAAAATTTGGTTAGTTACTTTTGAGTGCGCTGGGAAACGGCTGCAAGTCCTAAGTAGCTTTGAAATAGTTGTTGTTTTGTGCTTTTGAATTTAAATTTGTATTGCTTTTTTCTACCTGACATGTTGGTGCAGTGCAGTGTTCATGGTTTTGGACTGGTCCAGACCGGGGCGGAGAGGATTTATGGTCCGAACCGAGCGGATCAGGTGAAAATCCACTGGAGGAATGCTAACTTTTTGAATAATGGTAATGAAGCATATAGCATTTTAGTTTGGACTAGAGCAGAGAAAATGGTCCGAACCAAGCGGCCACTCCACCTGGTGACCTGTCCTGCTCCACCCAGTGGCTACACCACCTCTGCTACTGTGACCCGTCCTGCTCCACCCAGAGGTTACGCCACCTCTTCTGCTGTGACCTGAAGTTGCTGATTATTACTATTTTTAACTTTTTAGAATGATCAATTTTATTTGTTTTTTTCGCTGCTACTGGACACCTGAATTTCTCCTACGGGTATCCATCCATCCATCCATCTATCATTAGATTTTTTTGGTCTCAGTCACATTAGGTCAGTCTTTTTAGACAGAAAGTGAAAATGAGAGGACCACCCTCACTCAGCCAATCAACTCTAAGCCCAAAGAGTCAAATAGTGACTCACAGGATGTAAGGATGACATGTTTTTGGTCACAACATTTTACTTTAAGGATTATCTATGAGAATTAATGTTTTAAGCTTTAATATGTAGCTCACAACATTGTTCCATCATATTGTTCCATAAATTGTATTTTAACACATACTTACATAAAACAATCAATTATGATAATTTATACATGTAGTTTGTCCAACAGAGAATGTCTTGTAAAGTAAAATACAGTGAACAAATCAGACCACATCATGTTGTCTTTTGCTTATTCTTAAGAGCCCTGTGAGTCACTGTTTGACACTTTGGGCTGAGAGCTGATTGGGTTCAGTCTGAAAAAGCTGTGACAGAGGCCACAAATACATGCATTTGAAAACTAGAGATTAAACTGTTTTGAGAGCGAGAATGTTATGACAAACAGTAGTTTTTGTGGTTTGATAAATAGGTACCCCAGCTTTATTGAAATCAATCAACCACATTAATCGACTCTGACGTTATTTTTAAACTTGCTATGCTTAATGTCAGATCTCTATGTAACAAATCATTTTTAATTAATAATTTTATCACTTCTTATGATCTTGATTTTATGCTTATGGCTGAAACATGGCTCGACCAAAATACAGGAAATGCAGTTCTAATAGAAGCAACACCACCCAATTTTAAATTCGAATCCGAAATACGAGAAAACAAAAGGGGGGGAGGCATAGCTGCAGTTTTTAGAGAGCACTTTGTCTCCCATAGAATGCCCCTTGGAAATTTTTCATCGTTTGAGTATATTTCTTTTAAAATGGAACAAAAGCAATCTTCTACTCTTTTCATTGTCCTGTACAGGCCACCCACAGTCATGTTGCGATTTTATTGACCATTTTACTGAACTACTTTCATTCGTGTGCACAGATTTTGATAGTTTAGTTATTACAGGTGATTTTAATGTACATGTTGATAATGTTGATGACAGAAATGCAAAGGAGCTGGCTTCTGTATTTGAGACCTTTGGTTTCATTCAGCACGTGAGTGGCCCCACCCACAGCAGGGGGCACACTCTTGACCTGCTAATTACAAAGGGGGTTAATGTATCAAATGTTAATGTAGTTGATGTTGCTTTGTCAGATCATTTCTGTGTATTTTTTGACATGTGTTTTGCTAGCAAACCACCAGCTGAATTTACAACTGTTAGAAGAAGACACATACATGAAAACACAAGTGAACTGTTCATGGGAATGCTAAATTTTGAGAAAACTCCATGCTCTACTGTTGATGAATTGTATAACTCTGTCACCACCAGTGTTCTGACTGTTCTGGACGCCATTGCTCCTGTGACGGTTAAAATAGTTACCAGTAAGAAAAAGGCCCCATGGACTAAGGCAGACTCGGTTAGGGCACAGAAGCAAGAGTGCCGGAGGGCCGAACGGAAGTGGCGAAAGTCCAATTTCCAGGGCGATTATGAAATCTTTAAAGATGAGTTGGGTGAATTTAACCGGGTTCTACGTAGAACAAGAGAAATGTATTTTTCTGACATTATTGGAGGTTGCAGTAACAATTTTCGTGTTATGTTTTCAACAGTTGGTAGATTAACGAACCCCCCTGTAAAGTTGCCCCTAGAATTTTCCTCTAAATCTAGGTGTAATGAGTTCGCACAGTTTTTCGATGACAAAGTACAAGGAATCAAAAACACTATCACCTCCACAGCACGTATAACAATGCAACAGCCAGAGAAGCTTTTTGAGCTAACTCACTTTGCACCTGTGGATACTGAAACTGTCAAAAAGATAATCATGAGTCTGAGCTCCTCCACATGTAGCCTGGATATATTGCCCTCTAAATTTCTGAAGTCCGTCCTGAGCAGTTTGTTACCTTCACTGACACAAATAGTAAACATGTCTCTGTCGTCAGGAACATTTCCTATGGCCCTAAAAACAGCAGTCATAAGACCTCTCCTAAAAAAGAGCAGTCTGGATCCTGCGGGACTTCAAAATTATCGCCCCATATCGAATCTGCCATTTATTGGAAAAATTCTTGAAAAAGTGGCCTCCCAACAACTTACTGAATTTTTAACAATGAATAATTCTTTTGATATGTTCCAGTCTGGGTTTAGACCCCACCACAGCACTGAGACCGCTCTAGTGAAGGTAACAAACGACATTCGACTTCACACTGATGCAGGTAAAGTCACAGTTTTGGTCATGTTAGATCTTAGTGCCGCGTTCGACACTGTCGACCATGAGATCCTCATGCAGAGACTGGAGGACTGGGTTGGTGTCACTGGCACAGCCCTAGACTGGTTTAGGTCTTACCTGGAGGATAGGAAGTACTCTGTGGAGATTGGAGACTGCGTCTCAGATGATGTGGCCCTGACCTGTGGTGTACCACAGGGGTCGATCCTGGGACCTCTCCTATTTAATCTCTACATGCTGCCGTTAGGTCAGTTAATACAAAGAAACAAAGTGTCCTACCACAATTACGCTGACGACACTCAGATCTATGTCTCACTGACTGCAGGAGAACATGGACCACTGGATTTGCTCCTTCACTGTATCCAACAGATCAGTGACTGGATGCAAAATAATTTCCTCCAGCTAAATGCAGACAAAACCGAAATCATTGTCTTTGGTCCCCAGAAACAAAGAGAGGGCGTCATTTGTCAACTTCAGTCTCTCTCCCTACTTCCTTCAGACAAGGTCAGAAATTTGGGGGTAATACTGGACTCAGACCTAAATTTCAATAGCCACATAAAATCAATAACATCAACAGCTTTTTACCATCTGAAGAACATTGCCAAAGTTAGAAATATAGTGTCCAGGGCAGACTTGGAGATTCTTGTCCATGCATTTGTCTCCAGCAGGCTAGACTACTGCAATGGCCTGCTTACAGGTCTGTCCAAACAGACCTGTAAGCAGCTGCAGTACATCCAAAATGCAGCAGCTAGAGTCCTGACAGGAACCAGGAAGTATGACCATATTAGTCCGGTCCTCAGGTCTCTGCACTGGCTTCCTGTGGCTCAAAGAATAGATTTTAAAACGGCTCTGCTTGTGTACAAGTCTCTCCATGGCCTTGCACCAGAATACATTAGTGACATGTTGGTGTCATATGAACCGGCCCGGACTCTGAGGAGCACAGGGACTGGCCTCCTGCTGGTGCCCAGAGTGAGAACCAAACATGGGGAGGCTGCGTTTCAGATCCATGCAGCTAAGATCTGGAACAATCTCCCTGAAAATGTGAGGGAGGCGTCTACTCTGTCAATGTTCAAATCCAGGTTAAAGACTGTTCTGTTTGCCTGTGCATATAACTGAAGGATTTTATCTCCATTTTTAATGCACTGCTGTCATTTATTTATTTTTTTTAAATTTCTTGTGTAATTTTGAAAGTTTTAATGGTTTTATTCTTTTGTGTGATTTTACTGTTTTAATTGTGTTTTAATCTTTTGTGTGATTTTAATGTTTTAATTGTGATTCTGGTGTTTGTTTTATGTGATGATTTGTGATGTGGACTGTGAAGCGCTTTGTGTTGCCCTGTGTATGAAAGGCGCTCTACAAATAAACTTTGATTGATTGATTGATTATTGTTAAATACATATATTGTATTAAATGTAGTAAAGATTTCATTTGTATGTTGTCATTTTGGGTTAGAACTCTGAAATGTATATTATGTTTTCATCCTGTTTGGGTCCTGGTTTAGTGGTGGTAATTAATTGATCATACAAGATTATGTAAAGAGTATTTAAAAAACAACATTGTATTCACATAAGTTATTTAAGTTAAGACAAACCTTGAGGATCTTGATCTGCGTTGGGTCTGTGGAGCGAATGTAGAAACTCTTCAGATAAGGTTCAAACATCCCCTGAAAAAGACAGTAACAGTTGTGCAATTTTATATGGATTTGAATGATCTGTACCTGCTTTAAAATCATCAAATACACATTTATTTCTTCTAAAATTATCTGCAGAAGGACATCTAAGCTTGTTCTTCGTGTTATGATAAAGTTACATCCTATTTTTCACAGTAATTACCAGTGCGAGTCGGACCATGATGTAGAGTTAGCCAGGCAAGTTTATTGGTATAGCACAGTTCATACACAAGCAACTGGGAGTGGTTAACAAAACAAGTTAGAAACAATCACACATTTTGCACACATTGGCCCTCATTTATGAAACTTGCATACGGCCAAATCAGGGTGTAAATGAGGCGTACACAAAAAAAGTACACTTTTTGGCATTTATCAATCTGGAGGTGAGCGTACCGTACGCACAGAATATACGCCAAGCCTGGAGGTGGTGTAAATGTATACGCTCATCTCAACCTTCATCATAACACGCCAAAACACGCATGAAATTCAAGATTTGGACAACAATAAACATATTCCCAATCTGGAAAAATTATAAACTGCGATTCCATTGAGCATCAAATTTCAAAATTTGAATTTGCGCATCAGAAATTAAATGTGAAGCGCTTTGTGATCCTGGTCTGTGAAAGGTGCTACACAAATACACTTGATTTACTTACTTACTTACTTGATGTGTGAAACAGCTATTTCTCTGTAAATCTGTGGCAGGCCCTGCACTGCGTATTTACGCATGGCTATTTGTTTTGTCTCATTCACATCTCTCAAAGCAATGCATTTTTTCATTAGTTTTCATCATGGACCACAATTTCCCAAAAGCTACTCAACCCCTCTCAAGTGTACAGAGATCGCTCCATTGCATTTACAAGAAGATGCTGCATTAATATTTATTCATTATTTATTTATCTATTTACTTCTACAGTTCAAGAGAGATTTTTGAAATGTATCAAAAAAGTTTTGCAAATTTGTTCAATGGAGCTGAATATAGCGTATATTTATTTTTAAACAAACTTAACTCTTCAGGAGGTTGTGCCAGAGGCCTTTTGAGGCTTCCAAACAATCTTCCTGGCCGACTTCAATTCAGCTATGTCGTAAAAACGGGGCGTGAAACAGGCGGTTGCTGCATATTTATAGGCGTGACTTTCATAAATACGTTGGTTTTCAGCCGCTGCATTTTTTAACAGCTGCAGTTGCGTACGCTCGGATCTTGTGTATTTGAAATTTACACCCAAAATGTACACCCTTTTCTGTGCAAGTTTCATAAATGAGGGCCATTGAGCATTAACCAGTGCTTTGTATGCACAGCTAAACAAACTGTCACATATTTCACATATTCAAGAAGATTGCATAGATCTGAAACGCTGCCTCCCCACGTCTAGTCCAAACTCTGGGCACCGGCAGGAGGAGGAGTCTCAATGACCAGATTAAAAATCTATATTTTTTAACATCTAAAAGTGTCCTTTATCAAGCGCAGTAGCCTTTTTTCTCATTCCACTGGAGAAAAGGTTAATTTTTCTGATAAATATTTTGTGGAATATTAAGCTTACCCTCCTCTTGATGGTCATGGTCGCCACATTCTGAAGAACAACAAACTGAACTTCACTGCAAGACAAAAACAAAGAAAACATATTGTTACATTACATCTACAAGCATATGTAGATGTAACGTATGTCATAACCATCCATCCATCCATTTTCTTCCCCTTAATCCATTTCTGGGTCGGGGGGGGTGGCAGTCAGAGCCGCACCCAGTACACATAGCACCAGCCCCTCACTGATCCTGCTGCAGGTGGTGAGTCCACAGGAGCTGAGATCTTTCAGTGGGGGCTTCGGGCAAAGTGGGGTTAATTGTCTTGCCCAAGGACACAACGACAGAAGACATCAGTGGGAGTCGTGAAGTAGGTCTTATGGTGGGCTGGAACCCACGATCTTCAGGCTCAAAGGCCAATGCTCTACCAACTGAGCCACTGTCGTCCCTTGTCATAACCATGAAATCACAAAAAACTATTTCATAGAATCAATGTTACATCTTTAGATCAGCTTTCAGAAAGAGAGAGGACCACCCTCACTCCAGCAATCAGGTCTTTTTTAAATAACTAAATTATTATTTATAACATCACAATGACTAAAAAGACACCAGTTACATTCAGAGTAGTTTATTGTGCGTGTGTGGTGTTGTGAGGTGTGTGGGTTTTTAATGTGTGTGTGTGTGTGTGTGTGTGTGTGTGCGTTTGCAAGTGCATCTGTAGCAGGATTGCACAAAAAATACTGGATGGACTGAGCTCATTTTTCATTATCACAATCAAATCTGCATGTCATGTTATTCACGGGTATCATCACCCTAGGGCCCTTTTTCCTTCCAAAACTGAGAGAAACAGGCTGGTGTGTCAGAATGACTTGGCCTTTTACCCGCCTTGAGATATGGTCTTTTGGCACAGACGTGTTCTAATATAGTGGCAATTTAGACACAAGTGTTGTATAGCTTGTCGCTTACATATGGGTGAGGGGAAGGAGGTTATAAAACTAAATGCAAGTCACAAATACCAAGCCCTGGAGCCGTGTTTTAGTGAGTGAAGCTTTCACAGTCAGAGTTTGGGCTGTTGCAGGTGCTGCTCTTTCCATTATAACATTGCCCTTATTAAATATGTTTATGTCGCTCAAAAAAAACTTGTCATAGTCCATAATAATGTCATTCCCTTTCGTCTCTTTCCAGTCTCTCTCTTCGGCCTCTCCCTGGTCTCTGTCTGGTCTCTGTCTGGTCTCTCTCTGGACTCTTTTTCAAGAAGACTTCTTTTCAAAGTTTGAAATTTGGTTTTGACCCTTTTAATTTGACAAGTTCCTGTCTTCCTTGTGGAGTGAAGCTGACGCAGGTCCAAACAGCAGACCAACATTTCCCTCTGTTGTCCCAAGTCGACACACCATTTCAATACAGGTCTGCAGTATGAATATGAAATCAATGAATATCAGAAAGGAACTTGTTACTTAATATGATTTCCGAAAACACAGTCAATAATAGAGCTTTACTCTTTATCGGAGCCCTGCTCAATAAAGAGGTGCCAGTGTCAGAGAGTTATGGCCACCGTAGAGCCATCATCCGTCCAACTGTGCTTTATGGCCCTGTGTTTTCCTCAGTCTCGGCCTGTTTCATTGCAGTCTGTGCCGCATGAATGAGGAGATTTACACTTTGTCCATTTGTTCTCGTCCTGGAGGCTTACACTACACTGCGGTTTCATGCTGGGTGAACGCTCGTCTTTGTATTCAGAGAAAGTGTCCGTGACTTTCTAATGCCAAATGTAATCAGAGGTTTGTGTGGGAGGGAAACAGCGATGAGTAAAAACACAGTGAAACGTCAGTGAAATAGAGTAGCTAAAGAGTATTCTCAGTATACCAATGTCATTAAATCTGTTTGTTTCGCTCACAACATTTTACTATTGGCACAACCAACATGAGCTGTTAATGCAATTGAAAACGTACGTACCCCAGCTTTAATTTAGCGAGTTTAGTTGCGTTTTGAGAGGAGACACAGGGGAGACACGGACACTTCCTGAGGCTCCATAGTCCAGCTTCAGCGGTGCATTTATTGCATGCACAGGTTACGTAAAGACACGAACACAACAAGCAGAGAATAGTCCTGTGTGTGTGTGCTCTTCGATATGATCACGTTACGGTGGCGCCATTCAAGGTGTTGTTGTGTGAGCTGCTGGAGGTGGGAACCGCTGTCCAGAGCGGCCGCATCTGACCCGGGTCAGAACGTTGCGGCTACGGAGGATGCGGAATCCTGTTCAGTTCATAGCAAACAACAGCAAGTGCCCCGCGGTCACGGGCGTATTCTTTTTAAACTTGATTTCCCAAAGGAATACCTGCTCTGTCTCCATTTTCCACACACATCTGTACTAGATTAAGATTGAGACTGAGAGATCCTTTATTCGGATTCACAAGCAATGTTCCCTCTAATTTTTCATGAGTCAGAGCAAAAACACAAACCCCCTGAGCGGCACTTGGAACACTCTGAGTGAGAGATCTCTGTTGAAAACCATTCACATTTGGATACACCTCCTGTATACACCTGCTGATCCCATTTATTTAAGTTACTCCAGCTTCAAACAACTATGATTTGTTCAATATTCACTTGATCATGATTCAAGTCTTTTATAGATGGTGAATTAAAGTAGCAATATGTAATATTTGCATGTCAATATTTCAAAAGGCATTATTAAATCATGCTCTTTTCGAATACATCTTTAACTGATAACAGTAGTTCAGCCAAGATATTAGGTGTGTTTGTGGCTCCACGCACGCACTGCAGCTGGTGTAGTGCTCGTGAGACATTGCAAGTCCGTGGCAAGACCGAGTTCACAATGTGCAGAGGCTTTTGGTCCGAGCCCTGTTCTTTATCAAACGCAGCTTCAGACTTCTGTGTCGGGGGCTTCTCTCGCACTCGCAGACAGTGTACCTCATGGTCACAGACAGAGAGCTTTCGGATCTGGCTTTTTCTGTTTAGAGAATGAAGCCTGCGCAGAGCCACCGTGGTCCATACACTGTTGAAATATGCGCCTGCGTCGTTTGTGCTGGAGGCACAGAATGCTGGAGAGTTGTCTGCACCACTGCTACAAAGGCTGCTGTTGCTACAGGTGTGTCACATTCTGTCACAAGGTCTCTCCATGGTTTTTTATATTAAATACTTGCTGTTAGTCTGTCACTCGCCCGGTGTCCTGAAAAGGTTTTAGTGACCAGTTCTGCTGGGGGTAAGCAGAGTCCCAGAGAAGGTAATAACCAGCTTTCACCAATTCTATAATATATCCATGCACCCCACCAATGTTACCACGTCGCGCGGAAATGATGTGGTCTGACGACCCCTCCCACAGCGAGTTGGAACAGCGAGTGGTGGAGGAGGTCGATGCCCGGTCGGTAGGCAACTGCAGTGGGTCCATTGCTGCAGTTCATGACAAGTGCCTGCGGCATTCTGAGTGTTATTATTTGATGCATGGGCGGCTGATTCGGACATGCGTCTAATGGGTTAATATTTTTAACGCGATTATTGAAAAAAAATCATGCGATTTTGACGCGATCATTTTGACAGCCCTAATATATTTCTTTCAAACTTTATTTCAGATCAGCATAACAGATTTGATAGTGGATTGGATGAATAGTTTCTCACCTGTGACTTCTGAGGAGTCTGACCAGAGCTTTTGCAATGACCCCGACCTCTGCTTTAGGAGCTAGATGGAAATACAACTGTGCCACAGCCATTACCACCTGCAGATGGAAAATCACAATCAATATTTCTTTCAATATGGATGGATTAATACTAAAGGATGCTTGCTGTTGAGGAGCTGTGCCATCAAAGTTGTTTCCTGCATCCTCCCATCACTAAAGTTCCAATCTATCTAAACCATGTCCATATCTAGGGCCTTGTGTATGTGACCCTCTGCCTTACTAACACAAAGTACCATTGATCATATTATTTATTTCAATTGTAAACAAGACATTTAATTATTTACACAAGTTCAGAAAACCTCAGCTCTAGTTGCGTTCATGTGACATCAAACAAAGAGCCCTATAGCATTGTGGCGGAAGGCAGCTGAAAAACTGTCGAACTGTCAAATGTCAGTCTTTGTTTAGAGCTAATTTCTCTGTAATTCCTGGACCAATATACATGGAAAAACTGTCACAAAGTTTGATATCTTATTTGTCAGCACAAATGAACAACATGGTCTCATTATTTTCTCTCTCTTTTCTCTCTGTTCTGTCTCTGGACTCTCTGACAACTACAGTTTAATTATTTTCTAATAAAAGGTGTCTAGAAGTTGTGGCAATATAAAAAAAAAACATAAACAGGAAGTTGTCCAGTAGAAAGGATAATCAGCCATGAGTACAGTATAATATGGTGGCTTTGTGAATTTAAAAACAGGACATTTTCTTTTTAAACATTTCTTTAAAAGAAACTTCTTTCCCATAGAGTGAAAACATGAACACAACTTAGAGTTAAATGGACCTTAATCCATTTGACTTTGTTTGGCTAAACCAACATTCATATAGGACTGTGGCACAAAATGTCATAATTGCCGTTAATGTTAAAACGCTAACCCTCTGATCATGAGCACGATAAACGTCGCCATCGCCGTGTTACCAGTGGCGGAGCCAGAGGGGTAGCCAGGGTGGCCACTGCCACCTCTAAAAATATCCTTGCCACCCCCATTGCCCCCCCTCGGAAGACGGCAATGTAATAATGTGCATATCTTGAGAATCTTCCGCACTTTTTCCACCGAAAAGTACAAATTCTCACGGTTTCCACAGTCTGTGAACGCACCCCGACTCCGTGTTGAGCATGGATCTAGCCGGTGCGGCGCTGTATGCTAGTAGTGCTTTTCATTGGTTGTTGAACTCACATGTGCCCGAGTCATGATGAAAACAAAGGGTAAGTGACACAGGGCCAACATTTAACATAAAGTATAGACATACGTACTGCAGCGCATTACTCGTTCAGTTTGTAGTACTTTTACTGTGTGGATGTGTGTGTATGTGTGCGCGCAATTGCACAGTGTATCATTGTCCTCTTTCCTTTAGTGTAAACATGAAAAGAAAAGGAGGAGACATATGTCTTTTTTGTATAGAAAACGCATATAGATCAGTATAATGAGACTTCACCTGAAAGTCAGACTCGAAGGCAGCATGTTTTGAGAAATTTCATGATGAGGAATTTGCTGTGTTGTATTTAAATATAGCTTATATAATTCAGTTTCAGAGGATGAGCCACAGACAGGTGCTGGATTGTCTATTGGCAGAATTAGAGAGGCGTTTTTCACAAAAAAAGACTGAGATTATGGAGGAGTGCAGTCGCTTGACCCCAAAAATCCTTCATTTTTGAAAAAAGAGCCCCTGTTTGCATTTGGCAGAACCTTTGAGTCTGATATTAAGCATGAGGTACATCAAACTAGGCGGCTTCTTGTGAGGAGAGAAACAAATGGATTAGAGAGACCCTCTTCCCTATTGGACTTCCTTGTCTTTTTGGAACCATTCAAAGAAGTGTTTCATGAGCTTTTCAGGCTTGCAAAGATCTCTGTTGTAATACCTGTCAGTACTGCATCTTGTGAACGAAGTTTCTCTGCCCTAAAACTTATCAAAAACCATCTCAGAACGACCATGGCAGATGATAGATTGAGTCATCCTCAGTGTAGAGTCAAGGAGAGCTAAGGGGCTAAATATGGATGAGTTTGTCAACATCGTTGCTGCTTTACACCAGAACCTCATGATTTTGCTTTGCTGATATCCTGTAAAAAAGTTGCCTACATTTGTTAAAAGAAAAATGTAATACAATGTTTGAATGATGTCATTTTCCACTTTTTTTCTTCAGAATACTGTTTAAATGCACTTTTTTGCTTTGAAATGCACTCAGTTCACTTTATACAAAGAATAAAGATAAGATTAAGATTAAAATGTATCGTTTAGCCAGCTTTTGTGTGAAATAAAATTTCTGAATAGTATAAATGTGGATCCCTTAAAAAAAAAACCTTGCCACCCTCTGTTTAAAAGTCTGGCTCCGCCACTGCGTGTTACTCTGGTCCTGTGAAAGAAGAACCACTGTACGCCTACTGCATAAGACCAGGAGAACCAGAGCTGCCCAAAACGCATCACTTCTGCTAATGTTCCATGGTGCAAGCTCGAGCCAATGAGCACAGATCATTGATTTTAATGGGCAGATATCTTGGCGACCCGGGGCAGACATCTTGTTGACCGGGGCTTGGTATCTCGGCCTCAAAGTGGCCCTCTCACTTTAAAGTTGGTCAAATCATGTTCAAAGTTAACATGATATAGGTTTGATATAAATTGTATAATTACTTTTGTCAAAAGTGGGATTATACAGCAAATTTGAGATTTTTTATATACAATTGCAACTCTAAAGATTGAGTAATAACGCAAAGATACAAGACGCCTTTGGAAGCCCCCTCTGTTCAATTGCATGTTTAATGGACATGTTTACACAGGTCCATTAAACTAGGGTAGAACTCACAGCTGCGTTTCTGCTCTGGAGAAGCGGCTTGGTGTTCCTCAGCAGAAGCCTGTGGTCCGGATCCATGACGTACGGCTTCCTCTTGGCCATCGCCTCGGCCTTCTTCTCCTCCTTCTCCTTCTCATCCTCGTCCTCGTCTTCCTCTTCATCCGAGGGGTAGAATGTCTTCCCCTCCGTGTTGCCCTCCTCCAGCAAAGACTCCTGCCAAACAAATTACAAATAATAATATTTCACTACAAGCCAAAATATCCACAACACAGAGGTTTGATTTGTTAAAATTTTTCTTTCTGTTGGGGAAAACAAGATGCATTATCATTATGAATAAGAGACAGTTAGATACCCCAGTTTTAATGTACATAATGTAAAAAAAATATATATCTGAAGCTTAATCTAAGGCATTTAACATGTGAATAGGAGTTGTCTAAATAGGTTTTGGTGGACGATAGAAACTGTACTTTTGATCTGTATAAACAGCTGCTGTCTTGTGATAATTCATTCCGGTGTAACGTCGGCCTTGTCGAGATACAGCTGTTTATGATGTAATGCAAACCTGCGCATGTGCTTCTCACGGCAGACAAAGCAAACCAAGATGGCAGACATTAAGTCCGTGATTTGCTTTAAAAGTTTAAATATGAACGAATAAAGACACACATGTCACTTTTGATTAAAAATGAGGCAAGATGTGGATGGTTCCATGTTGTAATATGCAGGTTTTAAGAGTCAAAGTTTTGTGGTTGGTGGTGGTTTGTAGTCAACTGTAGTCAAGTAGTCAACTGCTCCTGTCGAACCACACTGCTACTGATTTGAGGACCTTCACCTGCTCTGAGCAGGACAGGTAGCAGGCTCCTGCAGCCACCTTCTTTATTTTTCTCTAGTATTACCTTCGTTTTTAATCGATAATTTTTTTCCATTTAAAAACAAACTACAACTGACAAAGAAATAGATTTTCCTTTATGCAGTTTAATCTAAATTTCCCCATGGAGCATAAGTGTAACAGGAATTAAGCCTTAAAACATGATTGTAAACAAGATGGCCCTGCCAACAGTGAAAATGTAGCTTAACTGTTTTCTAATAACTTCACTTACAGTGACACAATGCACCTTCAAAATCACTTAAAACGCACAAACAAGGACCACAGCAAATATATCAATCGTATTAAACACATGCATTATTTACATTAAATATCAATTTTTTCAAAACTAATGATTAGTCAAAATACAATTGTTATAACAGCAAAAGTCTTTTACAAAAGCCTCCTCCTTGGGTTTTCATGCTTGTTCTTTCAACCGCGCCAGAGCAACTGTGCAACGCTCGGTCCAGCTGGTGGCGCTAACACTAACTTCAGAGCAATGAGAACAATGTGTGAGACGTGTCTTTCCCCAAAGTGCAGCAGCTCATTGTGTGTGCGGACACGGGAGCGTGCTTTGGAGTAATGAGCGTGAGCGCTGAGAGATGAATGAATGAGAATGAAAGAATGAAAAGTGTGGCGTACGAGCAGAGCGACTGGAGCCAGGCAGGATATAAGTGTGTGTTGGTATGTTCTGGCGATTAAATAAAGTCTGATTCTTAAATGTTTGAAGTCTTATTGCCACAGCACCACACTGAGAGCGAGGGTCAGAACAGAATGAGACCGTTAGCATTAGGGAGTTTTCCAAATGACTCAACACCCGCGGTTAACGTGTTAGCACTGTAGCTCTGCGCTGGAAAAAAAAAATAATATTTTCATTAAAAAGAGATCGCCCTAAACGTCAAATTTTAGTTAATAATTAAACCCAGCGGCTACTCTACCCAGCGGCTACTCCATCTCTGCTGCTGTGACCCGTCCTGCTCCATCCAGAGGCTATTTCACCTTTTTTCTAATAAAGTAGTCCTTTTCCTCAAACATGGTTTTGAGACAAACTGTATATTTGGATGTTTTCTAAAACACTATAAGAAAGTGTTTTGACCAACCAACAAGAAACAGGTTTTATGATTTTTATCCTTAAATGAAGTAAAGAAAACAGTGTCAAGTTTTAGTGTGTGCACGTGTAAGTGTGTGTGTGTGTGTGTGTGTGTGTGTGGTGTGTGTGATGTGTGTGTCCTCTCAGGTCGGACTCACATTGATGTTGGGGTTGAGGAACTGCGTCCTGGCGTAGCGCGTCAGCATGTTGATGATCACCACCTGCCCCCACTCTTCCACGTCGATCAGCAGGTTACACAATTTCCTGTAGTTTTTGTGGATCAGGTCGATGCGCTCGGGACACACCTCCTCAAAGGCCATCACCACGCTGCCCGCCACAAGCTGACAGACAGCAAGGAAAGAGTTAACTTATATGAGTTTTATTTTTACAGTAACATCCATTCATGTTCTTCCGCTTTATCTGTTGCCTGGTCGTAGGGGTAGCAGCCTAAGCAGAGATGCCCTAAATTCCCTCCCCCCACACCTCCAGCTCATCCGTTGGAATCCTGAGATGTTCCCTGTCCAGCTGAAAGACAAAGTCCCTCCAACATGTCCTGGGTCTTCCCCTGGTCTTCTCTTGGTGAGACATGCCTTGAACAATTCCCCAGGAAGGTGCCGAAAACAGAGGCCGGAGCCACCTCAACTGGCTCGATGTGTAAAAGCAGCGGCTATACTCCGAGCTCTTCCTATGTGACCAAGCTCCTTACCCTACCTGTAATGGAGCGCCCAGCCACTCGGCAGAGGAAACTCATGTGGGCCGGTGGTATCCGCTACCTCATCTTTTCGGTCGTTAGCTCATGACCAGAGGGGGAATGTAGACTGACCCGTAAATTGAGAGCTTTGACTGCAGACGCTCCTCCCTGTGTCCGCATCACAGTGCACTTACAGGGAAAATGTACAATAAACATTGCTAATAGGAAAAATACTGTCCATAGTACCAGGTTATAGCAAGAGTGGTCATTTACACCAGTAATCCCTGAGCAGGTGATGTCACAGTAAAATAAAAGCAGATAGATGCGTGACCATCCCTACATTATACAGTTTATAATAAAAAACTACCCACCCCATTCCTCACTTTCTCTCCAGAGAACCCACCAGCTCTCATACACGCTCATCACACACAGATCGGTACAGATTTGTCTTTCCATTTGTCTTTTTTTTGTCACCCGCAGATATGTTTAATTCAGTGCATGTGATCATGTAAACAGGGAGTGAGTTCCTCTGAGTCGCTGCAGTGAATGAGAAAACATCATTATTATGTTCACACATTTCCCAGATTGACTGGTGTGTGTGTGTGTGTGTGTGTGTGTGTGTGTGTGTGTGTGTGTGTGTGTGTGTGTGTGTGTGTGTAAATCATGGATCTATAATAATAACTGGATAGAGTCCCAGGGTGGGATAGCGGTACTGCAAACTAAATTCATGTGGGCTACCCAGAAAAAAGTCCCATAGAACTCAATGTAAATAAAAACAGCTCGACCTCAGCTGACAGAGAACCTACAGCTTTCATAAGTGTGCCCCAGGGCAGCTGTGGCTACATTAGTAGTTTATCACCACCGTGTATGGAGTGGAAGAATAATGACACATGTGAAGCGTCTTTGAGTGTCCAAAAAAGCGCTATATAAAAACCGATGCATTATTATTATTATAAAGATCGTATTTTGTGGGGATTTTGGTGTCCCTTGTCATCCTGAACTTTTTTTCTTCTTAAATCTTTTGGTTTTCTTTAAATCCACACGTTATGCCACAAACTCTGCTCGTTTCCTTCCCACTCTGGCGCCGCTCTACTGCTGCTCTGATCAGCAGCTCTGATTGGTTTAGAGCGTGGCCGAGCCCCTCTGTGCACGTGCACAGTTGGTAGAGCATTGGCCTTTGGGCCTGAAGGTTGTGGGTTCGAGCCCACCTACTTCATGACTCCCACAGATGTCTGCTGCCGTTGTGTCCTTGGGCAAGACAATTAACCCCACTTTGCCTGAGGCCCTCACTGAAAGATCTCAGCTCCTGTGGACTCACCACCTGCAGGAGGATCAGTGAGGGGCTGATGCTAAGTGTACTGGATGCAGCTCTGACTGCAAACCCCCCCGACCCAGAAATGGATTAAGGGGAAGAAAATGGAAGGATGCATGGCATCAAGGGAGCTCGTCCACCAGCAGAACCGGGAGGACCAGACGATGCCCAAATATAGAAAAGTTCTGCTAATCTTTTGGGCCCCGTGAAGTCCCATGTGCTACTGAGCACAAGCCATTCATTTGAATAGGGCGCCATCTTGGATCACCGGGGCTTGGTGTAAATGGATGGTGGTGGTCAGAGGGACTTAAGGTACATCCTGGTTGACTTAGTAGTAGTAGTAGTAGTTTATCACCACTGTGTACAGAGAGAATGAATACAATACAATACAATACAATTCAAGTTATTTGTTTGACCAAACCCTGCATTTTCCTAATTTATTTTGTGTGGCTATCTCTGCTTGTGAAACTGCTTTTGAAAAACACTGTTTATTTAACGCCAGTGTAAACAAAACTGACTACTGGATTATCCATGTTTTCAAAGGAATACCAGGCCAATGTTTACATTTTAAATAGGGATGGGAACCTCAGGGTACCTCACGATACGATACGATGTGAGATACAAAGCTCACGATAACGCTTATCGCACGATATGACGATGCAGCGATTATCAATGTATTAGTCGAAAATACGGCTGGTGCTATGTGGACTGGATGCAGCTCTGACTGCCACCCCCCGAACCAGAAATGGATTAAGACAAAGAAAATGGATGGATGGATGGTCAAAAATAAATCTACGATAATATTTTTCCTATATTTATGGCATAAATTAAGTGAAAAAATACACTTTATTTCAAGATAAATGGAAAAAAGTGCCATGTGTAACTTTACAGGCAAAAATGCCTTTTAACCTGCACATTTTAGTAAAAATCTTACTTCATCTTAATAGCCATATATTACGTATCAATACTTTTTTTTCAAATAAAGCTTCAAAAAAAATATTTTAAAATTGAAAATAAACAAAAATTTGAAAAATATAAAATAAAAAATCGATACTTGGCAAAAGCATATCAATAATCGATTGTGTGAGAAAGTATCACAATACATCACCATATCGCTATATTGTCACACTCCTAATTTCAAAATAAGTGAAAACCAACCGTGGTTTTGTCAGCAAGGAGTTTTTCAATTACTTCTATGAGCTGGTCCTTCTGCTCTGGGTCCAAACTGTGAACGACAAAACAAAGGCTTTCAATCAACGCTGGGGTACATACAATTTATCCACAAATTATACATGCTGTTTACTGCAACAGAAGGAGTCTTGAAAAAGTCAAATGTAAACATTGCAGATCACACCATGCTGTTTCAAGAGCCCTATGAGTCACTATTTGATGCTTTGGGCTGAGAGCTGATTGGCTGAGTGAGGGTGGTCCTCTCTTTTTCACTTTTCTGTCTGAAAAAGCTAATCCATAGATGTGACTGAGGCTAAAAATACATGCATATGAAAACTAGTGTTTTTAGCCTGAGGAACAGGTTTGGAGTGTAGGATTTACAGGCTGAAAGCATTTTTTACTATAACCATATACAGAGATACTATTTCACATTCTAAATAATGAAAAAGTCTCATTATCATTGTTATTGGACCAAAAATAATAGGTAAGATTTCCTTTTCAAGGCTAAAATGAACCCAATGAATGCACACCATTCATTCTTTTTGTTAGGGTAGCAGAAATTTCAGGCACCTGTAGAGTTTGGGGATTGCATGCGCTGCAGTCTTCCTCACATACGGAGACATGTCGGAGGCAGCCTCTTTTATGGCCAGCATCATGATGGGGACGATGATGGTCACTCTGATGCTGGACAACACCCGCAGAGCACTGGCCCTAATCAGTTGGTTTGGGTCCTACAACAGAATACCATAACATTCACCTTTAACACAGGTTAAGAACTCATCAACTTTATGCAAACGCAGGTTGGCCGTAGCTGTTTGTTAGAAGAGAGCAAAATTGTATTATCATTTATTGTTATTTGTAAAACTGCCTAATTATTTTACATGTTTGTAAGACTCCAACTCTGGCTCTGAACACAAGATCACAGGAACATTTCACAGATCAAGGTCACAACTATCATAAATTCTTTTTTAGTGGTAGGGGAAACCAGATGAACGTACGCAGATACAGGGAGAACATTCAATTTTGTCCGTGTTTGTACATGGTCATTCTCTCCACACGGTGATGACGGAAACGAGATGCCAAACAAACAAAGCCCCAAATCAACACATTCATTACAATCACACCTTTTGTGTATGTTCTTAGTAGTAGGGGAAACAGGAGCACCCGGGGGAGACCTACGCAGACACGGGGAGAACATGCAAACTCGGTGTCACCTTTGTTATAACTAAAAATTTCAAATTGTCCATGAACCATATACTGTATACTCACCAGCCACTATAATTAGGTACACTTATCCAACTCCACTTTAATGGCAAATCAGCCAACCCATGGCAGCATGGGTCAACTCATTTAGACATGTAGACATGGTCAAGATACTCTGCTGCAGTTCAAAGCAAGCATCAGAATGGGGAAGAAACGTGATTTTTGTGACTTTGACCGTGGCATGGTTGTTGGTGCTAGATGGGCTGGTCTGAGTATTTCAGAAACGTACTATCTACTGACATTTTCACATTCAACCATCTCTAGGGTTTACAGAGAATGGTCCGAAAAAGAGAAAATATCCAGTGAGTGGCAGTTCAGTGGGCGAAAATGCCTTGTTGATGCCAGAGGTCAGAGGTGAATGGCCAGACTGGTTTGAGCTGATAGAAAGGCAACAGTAACTCATATAACCACTTGTTACAACCAAGGTATGCAAGAGAGCCTTTCTGAACACAGAACACGTCAAACCTTGAGGCAGATGGGCTACAGCAGCAGAAGACCACACTGGGTGCCTCTCCTGTCAGCTAAAAACAGAAAACTAAGGCTACAATTTGCAAAAGCTCACCAAAATTGAACAATAGAAGATTGGAAAAAGTTGCCTGGTCTGATCTGATGAGTCTTGATTTCTGCTGCAACATTCGGATGATAGGGTCAGAATCTGGAGTCAACAACATGAAAGCATGGAGCCTTGTATCAACAGCTGGTGGTGGCGGTGTAATGGTGTGGGGGATATTTTCTTGGCACTCTTTGAGTCCCTAAGTACCAATTGAGCATCGTTGCCACGCCACAGCCCACCTGAGTATTGTTGCTGACCATTTCCATCCCTTTATGACCACAGTGTACCCATCTTCTCATGGTTACTTCCAGCAGGATAACACACCTTGCCATAAGCTCAAATCATTACAGACCGGTGGGAATATGAGAATCATATACTCACATAAATACACACACAACCATTCAAATCGGGGCAGGACAATACATAAAACCAAAAAAACACAAAATCAAGTCTAAAACCAAAAGTGTCTGTTTTCCTCATCTCTGTGACTAAAATATGTCGTTGGAAAGATAGGCTCCATAGAGATGTCAGGAAAAGGGGAAAAAATACATGTGAGAAAAATTATATACTATTCCATCTTGAATTCCTTCGGTTCCCATACCCTGTAATAGTTTCATGTTGGTTCCCCATTATAACCTTGTTGTTGACGTTACGTCATCCTTGTGCGTCTCTGCTATAATGCCACAGCAGCTGCAACCTCCTCACCAGGATATGGTTTGCTTATGTTAAAGGAAGTACCTTTGAGTACTTTGCTAAGAGAAAACCTGTTTGGAGCTGGAAAACAATTGGTCTGGATTGGGGATGCATCAATATGAAAATGTTGGCAAATATTGGTTTCCGATATACATTTTTCTGTTATGGCCGCTAATCGATATTTGCCGGTATTGATAAGTGTTTTGTTTTTAAATCTGAGATAATAAAAGTTTGTACATACTGAATTTATTTCTCCATTTTCTGAATTAATTTTATTTTAGTTAGAATGGGCGATGCGGGGAAATGCACAGAGGAGCTTTTTGCGGCTTAGCATCACTCTTATTTTGAGTGAAAACTATTTCAAATGCAGCATATGTAGTAAAATAGACTAGAGTAGAATGTATAGTCACCAAAAATTATTTACAGGATAATAAAAAACAAGATAAATAAGGTTTAAAATTTGATTTAAAGTTGTACATTTCATGATATAATAATAGTTTTTCATAAAGATGATTTATAGTTCTGTAATCGAGTATCCACTAGCAAGATTGAGCAATTGGTTTTGCCTGCACCGACAGATGGGGGAACCGTGTGCTGACTTCAGTGACGACAGTGGAGAGTATTGGTCAAAATTAAGATTTAGAGTAAGATTAAGAGATCCTTTATTCGTCCCACAGTGGGGAAATTTCAGTGTTGCATCACAAGTTATAGAACAGTAGGGAAGAGGGGCACACGGCACAAGTTAAGTGAACAATAGCTATACTAATAAAAATAAAAATAAATCTCTAACTCTAGCATCAATAAAAGTATAACATCTCTAGCTTGAAAATAATAATAAAAGAAGTGTAAAAGTTTTACATAAAAAATAAGAGGCAAGTTTAAAGTACTGTGCATTCTAGTGCAAGCAAAATGTAGTTATATGTTAGAATCTGTACATGTTAGCAGCAGTATGTTTACACCTGTACCTGTTAGCAGCAGTGTGTTTACATCTGTACATTAGCAGCAGTATTTTTACATCTGTATGTTTACATCTGTACATTAGCAGCAGTATTTTTACATCTGTATGTTTACATCTGTACATTAGCAGCAGTGTTTTTACATCTGTACATTAGGAGCATGAGGCTCTGAGACACAGGGACTCAGTAAAGTGACAGTGACATGTGGTTATTGCACATTCAGATATAAGTTAAAGATATTGCAACGACACGTGGGATCAACTTGGCGGTGTTCATTAGTCCTTATCGTTTGTTGTACAGTCTGACAGCAGCAGGAAGGAAAGACCTGCGGAACCTCTCCTTCACACATCGAGGATGAATAAGTCTCTCACTGAAGCTGCTCTCCAGAGCAGACAGAGTGTCTTGCAGGGGGTGACAGTCATGGTCCAGCATTGTCCAGGACCCTCCTGGCCCCCAACTACTGCACTGTGTCCAGGGAACAGCCCAGGACTGAGCTGGACTTCCTGATGACGTTGTCCAGCTTCTTCCTGTCCCTCTCTATGATGCTGCTGCTCCAGCAGAACACACCGTACAAGATGGCTGATGCCACTGTTGTATCTGCTATTATTAATATTCTTAACTTCAAATATATGTACCAGTGGGGCAAAAAAGTATTTAGTCAGCCACCGATTGTGCAAGTTCTCCCACTTAAAATAATGACATGTCTGTAATTTTCATTTTAGGTACACTTCAACTGTGAGATACAAAATGTGAAAAAAAAAAATCCAGGTATTCACATTGTAGGATTTTTAAAGAATTTATTTGTAAATTATGGTGGAAAATAAGTATTTGGTCACTTCAAACAAGGAAGATCTCTGGCTCTCACAGACCTGTAACTTCTTCTGTAAGAGACTCTTCCGTCCTCCACTCGTTACCTGTATTAATGGTACCTGTTTGAACCTGTTATCTGTATAAAAGACACCTGTCCACAGCCTCAAACAGTCAGACTCCAAACTCCACTATGGCCAAGACCAAAGAGCTGTCGAAGGACACCAGGAAAAGAATTGTAGACCTGCACCAGACTGGGAGGAGTGAATCTACAATAGGCAAGCAGCTTGGTGTGAACAAATCAACTGTGGAAGCAATTATCAGAAAATGGAAGACATACAAGACCACTGATAATCTCCCTCGATCACAAGATCTCATCCTGTGGGGTCAAAATGATAATTAGAACAGTGATCAAATATCCCGGGAACCACACGGGGGGACCTGGTGAATGACCTGCAGAGAGCTGGGACCAAAGTAACAAAGGTTACCATCAGTAACACACTACGACAACAGGGAATCCAATCTTGCAGTGCCAGACGTGTCCCCCTGCTGAAGCCAGTGCATGTCCAGGCCCGTCTGAAGTTTGCCAGAGAGCACATGGATGATACAGCAGAGGATTGGGAGAATGTCAGATGATGGTCAGATGAAACCAAAGTACAACTGTTTGGTATAAACTCAACTCGTCGTGTTTGGAGGAAGAAGAATACTGAGTTGCATCCCAAGAACACCATACCTACTGTGAAGCATGGGGGTGGAAACGTCATGCTTTGGGGCTGTTTTTCTGCTAAGGGGACAGGATGACTGATTTGTGTTAAGGAAAGAATGAATGGGGCCATGTATCGTGAGATTTTGAGCCAAAACCTCCTTCCATCAGTGAGAGCTGTGAAGACGAAACGTGGCTGGGTCTTCCAGCATGACAATGATCCCAAACACACCGCCCGGGCAACGAAGGAGTGCCTCCGTAAGAAGCATTTGAAAGTCCTGGAGTGGCCTAGCCAGTCTCCAGACCTCAACCCCATTGAAAATCTGTGGAGGGAGTTGAAAGTCCGTGTTCACTGCTCTCGAGAAGATCTGCATGGAGGAATGGGTTAAAATAAGCTACTGTGTGTGCAAACCTGGTAAAGACCTATAGCAGCCATTCCCAAACTCAGTAACACCGAGGCCCCCTTAAAAATCTGTCGGGTCTGTGTGGCCCCCCCAAAATAATAACCAAGAAGACAACATTAAGAATAGGCTCTTCTGGTTATTTTATTTTGGGGAAATAGCCTCTGCTACAAACATTGTAATACAAAAATGATTACAGTGGATTATTCAAGTCAAATAATGAACACAAATATTTTAATATTACAAACAAAACATTATAAATTTAACATTAAATAATAATATTTATTTTTTATTTTTTTTATGACCTCCCGCGGCCCCCCTGCAGTACCCTCGCGGCCCACCAGGGGGCCGCGGACCCCACTTTGGGAGACACTGACCTATAGTAATCGTTTGACCTCTGTTATTGCCAACAAAGGTTATATTACAAAGTATTTAGTTTATTTTTTGTTATTGACCAAATACTTATTTTCCACCATAATTTACAAATAAATTCTTTAAAAATCCTACAATGTGAATTCCTGGATTTTTTTTTCACATTCTGTCTCTCACAGTTAAAGTCTACCAATGATGAAAATTACAGACCTCTGTCATTATTTTAAGTGGGACAACTTGCACAATTGGTGGCTGACTAAATACTTTTTTGCCCCACTGTATTGTGTGAACAATGGCAGTGTAGAAGCCAGGGACGCATGGTTGAAGTCCCCATTAATGATTAATAAGGCCTGAGGGTGCTGTGTCTACAGGTCACAGTGGAGAGCAGAGCATTGCATGCACTGTCTGCTTTTGCAGATGGAGGGATGTAGACTGCTACTGTATAATGATTACATGCCCAAACTCCCGTGGCAGATAGTATTGCCGCACACCAATGGCAAGAAGTTTAATGTCTTTCTCACACACCTGGCATTTTACAGTGCAGTGCCGTAGCTGTTGTTTACAAACACAGCCCTCGGCCCCTTGTCTTTCCACTGCCTTATTTACAATGAATAAGGCACAAATGTTACTTTTAACAACATTTGAGACGAGAAATGTGACCCTTTATTGCAGAGGTGTCCAAACCGCTCTGCTCCTGCTGGGTCTGATAGAAAACCTGTAGCCACAGCGGCCCTTTCTGGACCGGTTTGGACACCTCTGCTTTATTGTCATTTCGGGGAATTGTTGAGCAGTAAATAATAAAAAAGTTCGGACTTCAGCTCCATCGTATTTATGAATGTCAGCGAAGTGAACTGAGACTGTCAGCCATGTCTGTGGCTGCAGATGCTACACGTTAGCATTCCATTATTGGCATTTTCCTAAAAATTTACACCTGTTAGTATACATTTTAGCAAAAATAGAGACTCCATGAGTTCTCCACTTGATACGAGCAGCTGCCACAACTGCACACGCCACAGAAAAAGAGCATTTTGACTCTGAATCAGTGAATATTTACATTGTTCTTAATGGAGGATAAACTTCCTGTCCCTTGCGCCTCTGGGTCAGCAGCAAACCCAGCAATACACATCGGCCTATGGTTATCGGCCCAATTTTACACATCAGTCTGATGCAGATAAGTTAAAAAAAGATGAACATCTGCCGATATGTATACCGATATATCGTGCATCCCTAGTCTAGATTTTCCTGAAGTATTCTGTTTCCCCAATACAGTTCCCGTGTGACGTCAGCGCTCCCGGTCTGTTGTTGTGCCCGCCATTTTGTTGGGCAAAGTAAGCGGCTGCGGCTATCATTGAGACTGATAAGTTCTAATCGTAATTGCAACAAACAAGGGCTCTCTTTCCTAACTGAAATGGTTGTTTCGCGTTGGGTACGTAGATGTGCAAACAGAGCAAATGGGACTGATACATTAGGATTTTATTATATCCCAAGGAAAATCGCTTAGCGAGGAACATCACCGGCTGTGGTTAGCCAGTATCAACAGAAAGGATGAACCTTCAAAATACTCCAAAATCTGCTCAGATCACTTCAACATAGGTAAAACAGTTGTATTCTCAACATATTTTCAATTAAATAAAGTATGTTGTTGTTTACAAGCACGTTGCGTTAATTTGTCTGTCCCAATTTAGCCTAGCTATGCTACATAATAAACCTCACGCCTGCATTTACAGTTTTACAGTTAAAGTACCTGCCTCGATTTTACTAATAACTATATGCAATGATGGTTTAATGATTAAGCCATAGCACTGTCACCCCAAAGACCCGGGTTCGAATCCGGGAGAATTTTGTTTGTATTTAATTATATAATATTACATTCTATGTGAATACGCAAAAAAACGGTTTAAGACAAAAATCAATAAATTGTTTGCAAATTATAGCTTAATTGTAAAAAGAATCATTTGAGACCACATGTACCCCAATTAAAATAATGTTAGTCTCTTTTTGATGGGGGACTTATACATGTCTAAAAAATAGGGAATAAATAAAATTGAAGGTTGATATCCACTGGAGGAAACCCTGATTTTGATACGCTGAAGAAATATGTTCCAACATCCATTCTTCCCACTCCTATTTTGGACATCAATTGCTTATTTATTTTGCATAATCTATGCAGATGCGTTTTTTCACAATTTTCTTGTGGGCGGGACCACTCGCGGCCATTTTGGATAGCTCCAGTAGGGCACATTTTTTGGCCCATTAGTTAGAACGGCGGAGATAGGCGTGACTCTGTCCGTTAATATATACAGTCTATAATAATTACATTGCTTTTATTTTGTTTTTTTCATCTCAAATGTCCAAATAAAAACAATAAAAAAAACCTTCATTCAAAACATTCATTCAACATTAGCACGGCTATCATGGCAATGTGAATGGAGACAGACAAACAACTGATAAAATAATTTCTTGTGTTTGCTGCTGGATTTTGTGTGTATCTGGCAACCTGAGTCAGGAAGAGTGGGAGAGGACTACAAATTATTGACTGTGACTGCAGTACCACTTTTAGCCAGATTTTTACATAAAGCTCCTTTAATAATAACCGGGTCACAGGCTAACGTGATGCTATTCATAAACCTTTAATGAACACCTACATACACTGATTGATTGTTTTCGTGATGTGGTTTAATTTTGTATTACATTAATATACAACCAAATTCTTTCGGAAACATACCCACACAGCTGATAAATGGCTACCATTGATTTATATGCTTTTAGTTGTTGATAGCTCACAATGTCAATGTACGTGACAGCTGGTAAGCACTTAGCATCATTCTCCAGGTCGTCCTTCGCAAGCGTATGTGGATATCTCCCCGCAAACAGTCAAATTTTCACATTGTATTGATGGCGTTCCTTTACCTGAAGGCTCTCTTTGTATGACTTCAACTTCTGAGAGGTCATTGTTGTCAATTAATAAAATAGGCATCCTTTCCAGAAGCCTCTTCTAATTAGTTTGTCTACGTATATTAGTGCGAAGTGCCAAACAAAATGGAGACCGGAAGTCTGCTGCCAATATTGTGGGAAATATGTATTGATGCGCCCCTATGCATCCCTATGGTTTTGACCTCCTCTACAGGGATTTTAAGCTGCTTCTGCAAGAATGATCTGACGAGTGCTTCTCTTGGTCACTTAGACAATAAGTCTATCTTAGCTTGACATTGTTCCAAACAGCCGAGCACAGGCCCAGTCTCAATTAAATAGACTCGAAATCTTTTATAATTTGGTTACTTAAAGCAACCACACAGTCTCTCCGAATCTGTAGGTTTGATCAAACAATTTTTTATTATCGGAGCATTAATTGGGACAAGTTGGAGAGCAAGTTTAACTTTTCTAGGTTTTGATGAATGTTGTGTTATTTATAGGTTTTGAAACATTTTGGGATCGTGCTATGAAGTACTGGTGCTAACCTTCAAGACAAAGAAGCAACATTGCAGAAATGTTCAGCCCACGTTGGAGGCAAGGACATAAGTCCCAATGAAAACAGTGCAGAGGTATTAAAAAAAAACGTTCAATCGGAGCCATACCTTTAATCCGCGCTGAAAGGTGGAGATGGAGAGAAGAGCCAGGTCCTGCTGTTCCTCGGCATACCGCACCAAATACACGTACACCAGCTTCTTCACCTACAAACCAAGGTAAAATATCTATGTCAAAAGATATTATAAAATATTATTGAAGAAATCTGAATAAAACGGAAAGATGACTGGAATGACCACAGCACTCCCATTTAACAGAAAAATTACAGCAATTTTTGTATCTATTTTCAAAACAAAAACAAATTGAAAGCATGCAGCTGTAAACATCTTTGTTCCCTGCTACTGTCAGATTGTACAATGAACATTCAAACAATGTCAGAATATGCAGTATGGGCCCTCACATATTAGCCTAGCTCTGCCAGACCCATGTAGTTCCGCTATGCTCCACCAGAGGTGTTTGGCTGAACCACATTGGTCTGGGACACTTTGATAGGAGTTGGATTTCAGAAGGAAGGGCCTTGAAGAAAAAATCCTTGTATGTGATTGGATAGACCACTTGTCCGTTTTCTTGAATGACGTCTGCTTTCAACCACTCACATCGAAGCACACGACTCCCATAGGTTGCCAAATGCCGGCAAGATTTTCCAGCCCAAATCCGCGAGAATGCCCCAAAAAAAAAACACTTACAGTATGTAATCAACTTGGGCTATCATGATTCTGTTTATTGTCTTTCTGTTTATTTATTACCTACAAGTCTCTTGAAAAAAGCATGCGGGAAACCATCCAACCTGGCAACCCCGCTGCATAGTGTTAGACATACAGTGCCTTGCGAAAGTATTCGGCCCCCTTGAACCTTTCTAAATTTTGCCACATTTCAGGCTTCAAACATAAAGATATAAAAATTTAATTTTTTGTCAAGAATCAACAAGTGGGACACAATCGTGAAGTTGAACAAAATTTATTGGATAATTTAAACTTTTTTAACAAATAAAAAACTGAAAAGTGGGGCGTGCAATATTATTCGGCCCCTTTGCGCTAATACTTTGTAGCCCCACCTTTTGCTGCAATTACAGCTGCAAGTCGCTTGGGGTATGTCTCTATCAGTTTTGCACATCGAGAGACTGGAATTCTTTCCCATTCTTCCTTGCAAAACAGCTCAAGCTCAGTGATGTTGGATGGAGAGAGTTTGTGAACAGCAGTCTTCAGCTCTTTCCACAGATTCTTGATTGGATTCAGGTCTGGACTTTGACTTGGCCATTCTAACACCTGGATACGTCTATTTGTGAACCATTCCATTGTAGATTTGGCTTTATGTTTTGGATCATTGTCCTGTTGGAAGATAAATCTCCGTCCCAGTCTCAGGTCTTTTGCAGACTCCAACAGGTTTTCTTCCAGAATGGTCCTGTATTTGGCTCTATCCATCTTCCCATCAATTTTAGCCATCTTCCCTGTCCCTGCTGAAGAAAAGCAGGCCCAAAGCATGATGCTGCCACCACCATGTTTGACAGTGGGGATGGTGTGTTCAGGGTGATGAGCTGTGTTGCTTTTACGCCAAACATATCGTTTTGCATTGTGGCCAAAAAGTTCGATTTTGGTTTCATCTGACCAGAGCACCTTCTTCCACATGTTTGGTGTGTCTCCCAGGTGGCTTGTGACAAACTTTAAACGAGACTTTTTATGGATATCTTTGAGAAATGGCTTTCTTCTTGCCACTCTTCCATAAAGGCCAGATTTGTGTAGTGCACGACTGATTGTTGTCCTATGGACAGACTCTCCCACCTCAGCTGTAGTTATCTGCAGTTCATCCAGAGCAGGGCTGGACTGGGACAAAAAAACGGCCTGGGCATTTTTTCCTTTTTAGCGGCCCAGGCTACTCAAAAGGTTCAATTAGCCATATTTGACAAAAAAAAAAAAAAAAAAAACAGCGTTGTATAAGGCTTATATGAAGGTAACAGGGGCTGAAGCTGTATTAGCTACATTAGCTACATTAGCTACCTTAGCTACATTAGCTATATTAGCTATATTAGCCTAATATCTAAATGACAAAGTAAAGGCTACAAACACATAAAAACCATTCATGATTATCAAATGTGTATTTTCACTGCAGCGTGTCCTGGAGAGAATGACGCACCACGCGACAACTCTGCTTTAAGTTTAACTTCCATTTTTTTGCCTTCATGCAATTGTACAAATACAGTAAATACATCTGCTTTTTGGCTCAGAGTTCAACCCTAACCCTGCATCACTGTCTGTTCATATCGATCACATCACAGGCTGAAGTTTGCTGGAGCTGAATGTCCTTAATGGCCTTTTCTTTCACAGTCTTTGCGAAGGTATTTGAAGTCTGAAAATAGGTGCTCTGACTTTATGATGAATGAATCTTTAAGTGAACAGTGTTTAAAGCTTCATTGTTCCTCCTGTTGCAACAAAACCTTTCATTACATCGCAAACATGAAGCAGTCCTTCCTCATTGACTGAAAGCAAATGTTCAAAAACACGCCGGTTTGTTTACAGCAGCGGCCGTATGGCACGGGCCGCGTCACAGGATATGACGCACTACGTTGACAGAAATGCTAAAATTGAACATTACTTATACAAGTTTTTGCAGCATTGAAAAACTTTAAGAATGTTTTTCCTCCTACAGAAACCACATTGAAACTAGAAATAAAATATAGCCCTCACACTCCATTTTCAGACATTTTTGAAAAGGCTCCAGGAGCCACTTTAGGGGCACTAAAGGTTGCCGACCCCTGGTTTATACAGTATGTGGAAGCAAATACTGTAGAGGATCAGGATGTCTGCAGTTTCAACAATAAAATAAAGTACAATAGTTTACATTAAACAGAGTAATAAACATGTCTCAGAGTGAGGGAGGTGGGCACAGACAACACTATTGTTTGTTACAGGGATGAGAATTGGTAAACATTTCTGAAATGCATATTGTCAGCCATTTGCTGGCTCTAAATCTGTTTAATCTGTTCACAACATTTTAGGTACCCGAGCTTTAATTTAGTCGCACTTCGAGAGGAGAGGGGAGACGCGGACTGTTTCCTGCAGCGGTGTATTTATTGGGTGCACAAATAACGCAAAGACACGCATGGTCCTGTGCACGTTTATGGTCTTGGGTCACGTTGCGGCTACGCGCTCGCCGTGTTGTGTTGTGAGCGGCTCCCGGTGAGCGGTTCCCGCGTCCAGCTCAGAGCCGCTGGATGCGGGAACACTGCGGCCGCTGAGGTTGTGGAATCCCGTTCGAGTACATACAGCAGGTGCCTAGTGATGTGCTGAGCGTCCCGAGTCTTCGAAGCGTGTACCGAGTAAAAAAGGGGCGTATTTTTTGAAGCGTGGTTCGAGGCGTGTGTTGGTGACGTATGTGGTGACGTTCGAAGCCTCGCGTAGCGGCCGCACCACGTGACGGTTCATATAGTGCTTCATATAGTTCGGAGAGTGCATTGCTTTGACAGGTGCTTTGTGATCCGCGGCTGTACCATAGACTGTATTGGCTGTCCCCGTCTGCCTCTGTGTGCGTACGTGTGTGTGCGTGATGTGGAGCAGTCCTGTACTAAGTATAGAGAAACTACTTCATATGAAATACAATTAAAAACGTTTCACTTTAGTAAATCCTCATATATCAAGGCTTCAAGTTAGTACTAATAATACAATGGATAATACATTTCACAACAGCTGTGTGGCGCAGTCGGTATATGACGGACTCCGAAGCTCCGGACTCTTGAAGACTCAAATAGTTCATAGTTCATGAAGCATCATTTCAAACACAACACGTTAGACCATAGATTGTAAATATACATTTTAACATTAGATCTCACCATTCATTGTAAGCACTTAAGAGTGTTATGTATTTTTTTGTCCACATGATGGCGTAGTGGAGCATGATTCACCTCGAGCCTTCGACTCATGGGCCGAGTAATAGGCTGCGATCCCTCAAGGCTTCATGGGGCTTCATATTGCCATCACTACAGGTGCCCCGCGGACACGCGCGCCCCCTCGAACAGTTCTCAATGGATTTACACTTTTCACAAAACATTTTTTTGTATGAGGCAGACAGACCGGCCCAAATATGGGCATCGGCCCTTCGGGCATTGCCCGGTACGCCCGATGGCCAGTCCAGCCCTGATCCAGAGTGATCATGGACCTCTTGGCTGCATCTCTAATCAGTCTTCTCCTTGTTTGAGATGAAAGTTTGGAGGGACGGCCGGGTCTTGGTAGATTTGCAGTGGTCTGATACTCCTTCCATTTCAATATAATTGCTTGCACAACCTTGAGATGTTTAAAGCTTGGGAAATCAATTTGTATCTAAATCCGGCTTTAAACTTCTCCACAACAGTATCTCGGACCTGCCTGGTGTGTTCCTTTGTCTTCATGGTTCTCTCTGCGCTTTAAACAGAACCCTGAGACTATCTAAGAGCAGGTGCATTTATACAGAGACTTGATTAAACACAGGTGCATTCTACTTATCATCATCAGTCATTTAGGACAACATTGGTTCATTCAAAGATCCCACTGAACTTCTGGAGTGAGTTTGCTGCACTGAAAGTAAAGGGGCCAAATAATATTGCACGCCCCACTTTTCAGTTTTTTATTAAAAAAGTTTAAATTATCCAATAAATGTTGTTCCACTTCACGATTGTGTCCCACTTGTTGTTGATTCATGATAAAAAATTAAAATGTTATATCTTTATGTTTGAAGCCTGAAATGTAGCGAAATGTTAAAAGGTTCAAGGGGGTCGAATACATTCGCAAGGCCGACGTAACACCGGCGATCCTGATTGGTCGATTATTTTCTGATCTGCAGGATCTGAAGGAGTTTGGTATACACTCGATACCAGACGAATCTGGTTCAGCCAAACACCTCTGGTGGAGCATGGCGGAACTACATGGGTCTGGCAGAGCCAGGCTACTCACATATGGTCATTTCTATGCAAAAGATAACATGTGTTATTGTGTTATAATAGTTCAGTTCAGATCAGTTCAGATCGACACATACATTTCATACAACAACAAAAAGACAATGGGCCTCGTTCACCAATATCTTCTTACGAATCTTCTTAAATGTCTTCTTGAGTCATTCTTAAGAAGATTTCCAAGAAGGGGATTCCTCAACCACGAGGGATTCCTCAACGCGTTCTTAAGTCACTAAATTGTTTCAATTCAGTTTCAACAGTAAGACTTAGGAGAAGTCTTACTGTCACGGCGGACCACTGGCCCCCACTTTTTTAAGAACAATTACAGGTCTCACACAGACAGCTGAGGCAAACAAGCGGCGGAGGCTAATCTGAAACTTCCCGTGTCTTCATTACCGGTCACAGCAAAACAGCCAACCAAAAGAAAGTCTCGTTCCTCCACGCTTCCCAGTTCTATCATTCTATGGTCACGCCATCCACGTTCAAATGTGCGATCGATATTGTGAGACGTGAGCTCCGTATACAATTAGCAGAAGAGCACAGGCTGAGTGGGAGGGGGGTGGTGGGGGGGCGATAGCTTTGTGAGTGCGGGGAGGGCGAGCAGAAAAAGCGAGGCCAGCGCTCACATTCGAAAATTTCACAAAGTGAGTTAGTGCAGCTTTAAAAAAGGATGATGCACACACACTATTCTGCTTCAGG